ACTCAGAAGAGGCTCGCCATGCCCAAAAAAATGGGCCGCCGGAGATAATTATTGTATTATTACAACCCCATTTAATTGTTTGGGCATCCGGGGACCGGTTGCAGGCTTGTAATCTTCCCAGAAGGCGATCCGCAGAACGGGCCCGAATAATTATTTTATTAATCCCACCCCATTTATTAATCAAAGGCGTACATTAATCGTAATGGCAATAACTGCAAGCTGTAAACGTAGGGGCGTGGTAGGGAGCGGTAGTACGCAGTAGTTTTGGTAGTAGTCGTAGCAGCGGTTCCAATCCGGTCTTTGTTTGAGCTGCTGTCGGGTCAGCGGCATGAAGACACATTGAAGACTTGCAACAATTCGGCTACGGGCTCCTATAAACCAGAGCCTGTGCGAAGCGAGAGACCTCACCTGGCGAGTCCGTGTTGTGAAAGCGTGAACGCCTCCAGCTCGCTATTATCAGGTGTGGCCGTGGAAACATAACTTTGCATAAGTTGCAGGAAGGGATCTTGAAGGCCTTCACATCCCTTCAGACCTCAGGGTCTGGTGTTGCTGAGGCATCTCGTCGACTCGTGGGCCGAAGCCCATTGGGTCCAACTCGTGACTTTAATCGCTCAGACCCAAAATATTTGAAGCCCCTTCAACCCGGCACTCTAAAAATGACGCAGGGTGTGTCGAAGGAAGATCGCACAATTTCAGATCCAAATAGACTGCTCCCTAGATTTACCCTTGCAACCTGAAGTTCCTACAGTCCTGAACCTGTTGGATGTACTGCTTGCGACGTGGGCTTTTTTGGCCGCTGGCGATTTGAGAAGTTTGGCAACAGCTAAATGAGGGCGAATTGGACGATGCTACTTTGCGATTTGGCTGAGGATGTAAGCAGCTAAGGCGCTGCTGATGCTTGGACACTCTTTCAAATGCTTGACACTGATGGAAACAACTACATCCATGCCGACGAATTTATCGACAGCTGCATTCGCATGCGCGGAGGTGCACGATCTGTCGATCTCTGCGGCCTCAGGCTGCAGACTAGTAAGATTCGAAGCCAACTGTCTGACCTCACTAGGGCAGCCGAGCAAATGCGAGCTGCTGTTCTGGAACTGGCCAAAGGCCACCAGGTGAGGCTGGTCATCTGACCGTACATTTTCTCCGAAGCAAAAAAGTTCGTGGCGTCGATCAGGGGTTGTGAGGGCAGCGTTGCATCGCCTCACATGTTCCAAGCCGCCCATAAAGAAGGCCCTCAATACTCTCGCCTGGGATTTGCGACATGTTTGCTGGTTGTCCCGGACAGGTACTAGGACTAGTTGGCCATTTGCACGGGAAGAAGCGCCCTTCGACAGGAGCTGATCGATCCAGGTCTAGATCCATGAGCTTCATTGACCTTCACACCACGACAGCCGTCCCCCAACATCCCCAACAGCATTTCACGCATCTGCATGAACAACGGATCGTGTAGTTTCGCAAGACAAGCCAAACGTCAAAAAGGTTGCTGCGAAGATGCCAAGCCCGCATCGTTGTCTCGCGTAGTTCACAGCTCCGCGCAAATCCGAATGAATGCCCAAAGAAAAAGAAACAGCGGCAGCGCGAGCCTGTGCAAACACTGTACATCGGTACTTTACAGCATTTTACAGCCCATATTAACGTACTATATGCAGCCGCTTTCGATCCACTCCATTCGCTGGTGCTCATTGCGCAGCACAGCATCGAAACTAGCAGCTCTGTCCTGGCCTTTTGTTTCTCTGAGGGCAGGTCTTCGAGCTGCCGTGCATAGTGGCATAGTACCGCTCAGCACAGATCAGTGCAGGCTGTGAAAGACAAAGTCTGGCTCTGAGTTCGGACTGGCCGCTCCCAACATGCCACTGCGCATCGGAAATTCAGGCGTTTCTGGCATCCGCGGCCTTGCAAGTCTTGCGGCTATAGTTACTATAGCTATGGGACAAGCTGCTGCCAGATGATGTCCCTGTGGCTCCGAAGGAGACTGCGCAGGAACTTAGGAACTGCAAACGCAGACAGATCCAGATCGCCTAGACCAAGCGACTCGCTGGTTGGTCGGTTCCACCACCGGCTTGCTGAGAGTCGCTGCAAGACGTGGCTTTGCAAAACCTGCTGGAAAAGGGCAGGCCCGTCTGAAATAAGAAGGACAGGTTCCATTTATGCACACGTCCCCACGCGCTCACGCGCGGCAGGTTCCGGCCCCAGCAGAACTTTCTGCCGCACATGCTGACCAGGTTGAAACCTCGGAGTTATCACAGAATGCCAGTGGCTGCACGACTGGCAGCCTGAGCATGGCTGAGAGTCGCGTGTTTGCAGTTCTATGTCAGAGCACAGTCGGGGCTCAAGATGCGAAACGATCAGAACGTGGCCGAGCACAGCTGAGGCCGTGTTTGCCTGTCTTTCTGTCCATGGCGCATATATGATCATATATGCACCTGTGTGTTTGTCTGCCCGCTTGCCTGCCTGTCTGTCTCTCTGTCTGTCTGTTTGTCTCTCTGGCGTTTTGTATTTCTCTTTGTCTGTCCGTCTGTCTGTCCGTCTGTCTGTCTCTGTGTGTGTGTGTGTCTGGCCTGTCTGGCCAACGAAGACCGGAGACTGCGGAGGTGCAGACATATGCAGACGTACTTGTATGCTCGCTCAGCCCAGTCACGCACCCGCAAAGTTAGAGCCACTGTGCCAAGATCAGCTAGCCGCCGCTGTGCGAAGGATCAGTTAACCATCGTTTGAGCCTGGAGTCTATTTGGCCCCGGACCCGTGGTTACTGAACATGGAGCTTGGCTCTACCTAACATGAAAGCACACGTACCAGGTAGTTGCAGGGTTCATCTTAGCATTCTTTTTCCGCGCTACCTGCGCTGGGGCAGCCCAGGCTCACATTCCCGTCATTTCCCGCCAGTTACTGTTATGTTACGGCAGGGTTCGATCTGTCTGGATCAAGTTCGGAGACAGGCTGGCGTTGGTTGGATCTCGCAGCATGTATACTCTTGCGGCTGTTAAGTGCGGGTTGCTCCTGGTTGCGGTGGTATAGCTGGAGCACACCACTTCTTGAGATCCCCTAGCCCATCCGTTCGGACAAAGGTTTCACTGCATTCGTTTTCATGAGGCCCTTGAAAGAGTGCTTGCTGCCCCGGGATGCGGCTGAATAGCAGGAGACATCAGAGCAGGAGACATCAGGAGACCGCTACGCTAGTCTGAGACCCCCGAGGGTTTTGCCACGTTTGATAGCGGACCACCCATTCAAACGTACCCGCATGCGCATGCTCGCTCATGGATCGCAGCGGAGATAGCTTGGGGGTCTAGTCACGCCCCTGCAAAGTACGGGCCCCTGTGCCAAGATCAAATAGCTACCCCTGTGCAAACGATCAGCTAACCATTTGTTGAGCCTTGGGTCCTGTTTGGCCCTGGACCCCTGGTTACCGAACAATGAGCGTGGCACTATCCAGAAGTCTTGATCGACATGGTTGGAGGTTGCGGATGAACGCAACATCCCTTAGAAACATCTTGACGCACATACATGTCGCGCACAAGGTCTGCCGCCATCCAATGCTTCCCGATTCCCAACATGCAATCTGCAGTCTCAATGATTTTCAGATTGTGGGATATAGGTTCGTTTGGCTTCACAGCACCGGGAGGCCATGGCTTCGCCGGAGTTGTTCATGCAGGCCCTGCAGCTGCAACAACTCCAGGCCTCGCTGCGATTCTAGCAAGCTGCGTGGGGGGAGACCAAGCAGTCTGAGTCCCGCAATTTTGGTAGATGTCCCAGTTCTGAAAACAATTGCAGGCGCTGCAAGCCCTCCAAGCCAGTTTTCCGATGGTCGGAGCTGTCCCAGCCGCGGCTACTAGCGATGCAGCGGCTGCGTCAAACCCGCTTGCACTGGCCACGCTACCTGGGGCGTTGCCCTTCGCTGCACTCGCTGCACCAGTTGCTGCAACTGATGCAATGAATGCCTCGCCCCTTGGCAGAGGAATGGGTTGACACAGGGATATCTGCAGCGACCTCATCTAGAGCTGTTGCTGCAGTTCTTAGGCTGTACCCGTCAGGGCACAAGGTGAAGACGCAGATGTGCTTGAAACCCAGACTCCAGACGGTGACAGGATTCCAACTTTCTGTCTACCGTTGAGGTGAGCATAATTGCTCAGACTCAGGCAGATTCTTCCCTTTTGGCACCTGCAGCAAGGGAGAGGCCGGGCACAAAATTCAAAAGCGGGACATCATGGAGAGTTCACAGTTCGTCAGAGTCTAGACGTTCTCCACACTCTAGATGACCAGGCTTGTGCATTCGCGCACACGGAGACGGAGCTCGGGAAGCCGGTGGTTGAAGCAGGGACTGAGATCGCACCCACGCCTGCCTCAAAGGTAATGAGGGCAGGCGACTGGATCCTCAGCATAATTTGTACCACGACATATACCACGGCCCGACGGAAACAAACAGACCTCAAAGGAGTATGTTGTCGTTGACGTTGCGTTGACGTTGACATTGACGTTGACGTTGTCGTTGTCGTTGTCGTTATCGTTGTCGTCGTTGTTGTCGTTGTCGTTGTTGCTGGTGCTGTTGCTGGTGCTGTTGCTGCTGCTGCTGCTGCTGCTGCTTCCAGGTTCCAGACACCCTTTGTACCTGGCGTCCTAGGTCCTAGAACTCTGGCCTGCTGGCCTTGCGGGTTCTCAGTCACTGTTGGTTTTCTTTGGCTGCTTCGCTTCGTGCCTGAACGAAAGCAAGGAACGGGAAAAGGAACAACAAGGGAGTAAGACACGACAGTAGAGCAGAAGGGCAAGGAGTTGCAGAGTATGTGATGACAAACCTTGAAGCAACTGGGGCTTTGGGGTGCTCCAGGTAGAGCCATGTTTGGCTTTGTTGGCTGCTGGAGTTTACGCGTGCGCAGACGAGCGCGCAGTCCTCTTGCGTGGCCATGCAGTCATCATGCCTCATCACTTACACGCATGTAGTTCCACACCCAAACCAAGCTAACATCCTCTTAAGATTCTCTCTTCACCATCACAGCCTGCTGCCAAGCTAAAGCCACGCAAAGCCACACCAAGCCCAAATCAAGGCGGACCTTGCGCATTTGACAAAGACATCGAGTCGTCCTCGTGCAGGAAGTTGTGCGCTTAAATACATGTGTATGTGTATATATATATATATATATACATACCTGTATATATATA